TATATATATATATATATATATGTAGATATAGATATAGATATAGATAATTTTAAAGATAGACTGATGATTGAAGCTGAGTTGTGATTAGCCAAAAATGAGATATTAAGCAAAACAAACCATTAAGCCTTGGTGCCAACAAATCGGAAACAACATTTTGGCGTTGTGAAAAATGTAATGCTGAAATTCGCACTGAATGACGGAAATCGGGTCGACGATGCCGAAATTCGGAAATTAGACGAAATGTGAACAGAAGGGCTGCCGGAAATATGCCTGGATAAAAGCTGTTGTTGCTGCTGTTGCCGCTACTACTAGTGCTACCAGTACCGCTACTGCCAGTGGTACTGCTGTTGCGGCTGTTGCTGTTGGATAATGAAGATGATTTCGATAACAATCTTGATGATAGATTTGTTGATAAATTTGGTACATACAACAAATCCGATTTGCCTGTAAATGCATCATTTCATTCATTCATTCATCTTTTTTTTTGTTTTATTTAACTTCTTTCACCGCTTATTTTCACACAGCTGCGTTTTTTTTACCAACTTTAATGCCTCTCTAACACCTTCTTCTTAGATTCGCATTTTCCTTCACACCCTGTTTCCAAAACCTCTAATCCGTTCTGCCCTCGGTGCTCGCTCTGGTCCTTTTCCTTCCCTTCCCTCCTCTACAACTTTTTGTTTTAATCATTCCATGCTTAGGAATCCCATTACACTACCTGGTATGCAAATGAACATTAAGTCCGAAACATGCAGGAGAGAAATGAAAAATAGATTAAGATTACCAGAAGTGTTAAGTTTGATGAGAAGATACGATGGTATTGTGTTATCATGTTTTAAAGTAAACAAGTAACTAAAAAACAGACCAAGAAGATAGTCAAATATAATAAAAAAACATTTAAAAAGAGATGAAATGACACCATTTACAAAAAGAGTAGAAAGAAGCGGCAAAGAAAAGGACTAATTGGCTGAAAAAGTAAATAAACTCTTCTTCATCTTTTTTTTTTGTCTCCTATTTTAAATTTACTTTAACCAACAATTTCTTTAACAGTACTTTATTTCCTTTCTTCAAAATAGCCAGTACATTTTTCTATCTGCCTCTGGAAAGTAAAATGAATTTCTGGTTGTTCTTTATTGTTTGTTTGTTTTTTTTTTTTTGTTCATTTGTTATTATTTGTTGTCGCTAATGCTGTTTTTGGTGTTGCTCTTCGCTGGAAAGCAAAAACAGCCCACAAAATGATTAAATTTTTTGGCAAGCAAAAATGATCCCCCATGAGGGGCCGCTTGTAAAATGTTTCTTCAGCAACCATGTCATTGCAGTGCCCATAATGTTTGTCTCGAATGTTCAAGGAACAAAAAACTGACTGGCCAGTGGATGGACTGACTGAATGAGTCAGTGGAATGGACGAGCGAATGAACGGACAGATAAACGGATGAACGAACGACCAAACTATTTTCCTTCACCTCATCCTGCACTTCCTCATTCCCAGTTGTCCACCCATCCTTTTGTCCATCAAGCTCAGCACAACGTTCTATGGATTAGGCAAAAGTAACAAGCAAAAAAAAAAAATATATATATATGTGTACATGAAGCCAAAAATTCCGACATTGATTAGTGGTTTCAAAAAAGAACTTATTGACTTTGGCATTCTTTCTTTTTGTTGCCGGCAGCTTAACTTTTTTCTATCTTTTATCTTCTTCTTCTTGCAAAAAAAATCTTAAAAATATACATAAATTTAAGCATCAACTAATCTGATAATATTAATAATTTTTCTCCCCTCCCCGCTCCCCCTATTCGGTTTCTTATCGTTATGATGGTTCGGGGCCTCCAAATCCTTCATATACTCAGTGCTTGATGATTCAAACATTGATTGACTTTTTGTCTCTTCATCATTCCTTTGTTTTCAAAAACAATTGCATTCTTTTTTTTTTTTTGCTCAGCTTCACTCTATAATTATCTTATCGTCCATTTATTCATATCCTAACCAAATGATTCAACACCTTTTTATACTGTCCAAATAATATGACAACTGTTAAACAGCACAAAAAAAGTGAATTTTTCAAAAAAAATTCTTTTTGATTATGTAAATCCCTTATCCGTTTTTATCTTGTGAAGAGAATAACTATCCTTAGAATAACGTTAATTGTATCAAGAAAAAAAAGAAAAAAAGGGAAAGAAAAGTGAAATGCAGAAAACTGTGTCAGAACGACTTCGGTAGGCACCTTTTTTTGAGTTATTAACAATAAAACTGCCATTAAAATAATAAAATAAAGAAAGGTTCTTCTTATATCTTTCCCTTCATTTTTTTTCCCGGTGAAAGATTTTTTCTTTGTGTTTCATCTTGCAACAAGTCGGAATCAATATAAACATAAATGCAATAATTGCAGTCACATATCTGAAGTGCTGTCTGCATTTTAGAAGAAAAGACAGTAGCCGTTTTTATTCTGAGGGAGGAAAAGCCGGTGGAATTGCATGTGGCCGGTAGACAAAATCTTGTGGACAGTTTAAGGCCGACGACAAACTCTTCCTCTCACCTACCCCTCAATACCACATCTATTGTAGCAAGCAGTTCAAAAGGAGGAGCTGGTGTGGGAGCGGAACAGTGAACAATGAAATCACAGATTACATGGTATGACAGTTATGGGTACTCGGCTACGAATTAGCCTGCATCAAGGAAGAAGGACAAAAGACCGAAATTTGAAAAAGTTAGTTGCAAAAGAAAACTGAAAGTAAAACCAACCTTTTGAGGCACCAAAATATAGAAAACAGGCATCCAAACCGTTAAAACAGCTCTGTAATAAATCTGGCAAACACACGCTGCAGATTTGTTGCTAAAATGATGGAAACAAATAAAAACAACAAACATATCTAAAAGTGGCAAAAAAGAAAAAAATTAACAATTTATAAAAAAACAAGTAACACAATTCATTTAGCTTCCTAATTTACCGAATGAAATTATTAGCAATGCTACGGTATTTTGTTAGGAATCGTAGATGACTAAGGTAATTTCTACTACCGGTTTCTCTCAGTTCTTTTGAAGTTATAGCAACAGTATTTATTTATACGTAATTTTTTTAAAACCAATTTCTTCATTCATTGAAATGTAAGAATACTGTGCGTATTTACGTTTCTTTTATATCTCACAACTTTTTAAACAATTTTTCTGCTTTCTTTTATGATCCTATGAAGTCAATTTAAAGTATGCTTCAAAACATTTGTAAAGATCAAAAAAAGGATGGGAAAGAAAAAGAAGGAAAAACGAAGAAAAAAAGCAGGCGAAGAGGAAAAGAACTTGTAATTTCTCGCAACAGACCGATGAAAAAAGGTCCGCAAAGAAGACTGTGGTTCTTCTCTGACTTTCTGTTACTCTCATAAGAAAATAATTAAAAAAAGGAATACACACGTATTAGTTTTCAACTCTTTCTTTATCTGCTTTTTATTGCTTAACTATAAAAAGTATTAAATGCTCTTTAAACGATCAAAAACGCCCTAGACGATGCACCAAAGTAATTATTGTTTAAGCTGCAAAACACCGATTGGTTTTAAGAGCCTCAGAAAAGAAACCGCAGAAGCAGCAGTAGTAAATCGAATATGAAACAGTAAGCCATCCCTAGGACAGAGGGGTGATAGATGAGGAGAAAAAAAGGAGAGTAATTAAATCACAAAAAAAAAGCAGGTGTCTTCACAGTTCAATATGTCTGTTTATTCTAATGCTTTAAACTTAAGAAGACAAATTAAATGGCCTCGGATTTTCATTTTCTTATTTTTTACTACTTTTATATTGCTTAATAGCCACAACCAACTACTGCTGTGCAGTCCAGCAACACAAACAACAAAAAAAAAAACAGTATTATATGTATCGAATAAAAATCCCCATTAGTATCATTAATATCACTACTGCTGCTGCTTTCAGTGTCGTCAAAGTTGACAGAATTACTATTTCGTATTTACCTGAGTTACATCCGGTGAAAATAAATGATCGAAATTATATTTCACTAAATTCTTTGCCGTACTTTGACAATTCCGGAATGTTAATGTATTACCATTAGCACTGACATTTTCCATATCTTCCTTAGTCAATCGAAGAACTGTTTTTAGCTAAAAAGAAAAAAACAGATAAACAAATAAAAATAGCAATTACAGTTAAAAACTTTTGTTTCTTTTACTTACAAATACATCTAAAACTAAAAAAAATTTTTTTTCGGAAAAATAGAAGTCTAATTTCAATAACTGGAATCGGTGCTCATAAATATCCCCTTTACAAAAGTCTTAACATCTTGTCGAAAGCTGTAAAAGGAAATTTTCGGGAAAAAGATAAACAAAAAACATCGGCTTATTCACAGAGAATCACAAACACCAATACAGATATTTGCAAACCGTACACGTACCAACCCACAGAAATTTTTTGTATACGAAAGTTGTAAAAACCTATAAAAAAAGCTCTTGCGACATTTCTGATCATCCGCTGATTAGGAACCTATTTTGCTTCACACTACTTGCCTATCCTTTTTTTTCTGCCTCCTATATTGTTTATTTAAAATTAATGAATAAACAGCAGCAGTCAACGACAATATATATTGCACTTCAAAATTAAGAATGGAAATTAACAAGAGACAGAAAAAAAAAAACAGATTTATTTTTAAATTGTTCATGGTTAAATACTGTTCAGCTCTCTTTTTTTGTAGGAAGAGAATGAAAACTGCAATGGTTTTTCTTCTTATTATCTCCATCATGTAACGTTTTCGCAATATCAAAA